ATGTATTTTATATTACTTCCAAATTAACTATTGGATGTTTCACTTTTTGACAGGTATTCTTTTCCAACAACCTGTATTTTCTTCTATATCTGCAGTCATTTTCTCAATTAAAAATAAGTATTTGTAAGATTCCTTAAGATATCAGTAAGACATTAGACTGGATAGTTAACTGAACTTGTTCCATTTCTTTTCCTGAAAAACAAAAGAAAATTAGTCAAGGCAAATTCTTTCTATTAAAACAGATCGATACTGCAAAACACTAAGCCACCATAATGAACTACACAATATAACATTCTGAAATAATATTCAACCATTATCATTTTCATGGTTCAAGTTAACAACCTTACAAAAACCATAAATCACCATTAACCTTGAACTAGCTCTATATGGCTTACAATGCACATATCTCCTTTATGTTAAATAGGCATAAGAATTCATAAAATTAAGGTTTCTTGTTGCTCAAATACTGTGTTCAGACTCGTTCCAGCTATAATCAATGCTATGCACTTGTTGATTTCAGCAGTGAATAACTAGACCCAATACACTGGTAGACAAAGGAAGAACCTGGGAAAGAATCCAGAGTACAGTTATCTGATCTTTCTGCAGCATGTATTTTGTTATTTACCAAAGAACAAATTTCTGTATTTGAAACTATTCAGCATACACATTCTAAGTTTTCAAATATTTGTTGTATACATATTAACTACAATTTGATGTAGTAGAATACATTTTTATTTTCATTTTGCAGGACACGGGATTGAGCAAATAACATGTTACTTTCCACCCGCACTTTTTTCTTCCCCACCTTTTAAAACACTATTGCAGTAATACCAGAAAACAGCTTTATCTGTGGCCAGGGATTAAATGGAAGGTCTACTCAGCCAACTAATAGTCCAGTATCATGGGATACAAAACCATGTGTTGTGTCAGCTGGTACTAATCATTCCTCTTAAGCACTCTCAGCACACCTGTGCATACAGCAAACTGCAAAGGCAGACAAGGGAGAAACAGAATACGCAAGAAGGTAAAAGTCTTTAAAAACGAATTTCCAAAAGCATACGTAGTCATTTACACACACACCGGATACATTTGCCTTTCTAAAATTCTGGGAGTGATTTACAACATTCATTCAGATGAGTAATACCCCTGCAGCCAATGGATTATTTGTAAAGATTAAAGAATCATAACATAAAATATCAAGAAGAAATCAACATCATGCAAATGCTATTCACTAACATCACAGTGAATATTAGGAAACTCCTTAGCCAGTTTGAAATGCATCTAATTATTACCATGTAAATGAGGTTAATCTGATTATTCCAATACCTGCTTTTTAAATAACTTTCAAGACAGCACACAAGATTTAATCAGGTTTGTAGAGGGAATAAAAAATACTTTGCAAGCATAGCTCAGACTCAGTAGTATTTTTTTTCTAGAGAAGCATAAGGATTTAGTGGTGCCATTCACACGTGGCAAGGCCTCAAAGGATATTAATAAAAATCTCTGGTCTGGCCTTACACATAAAACTTTTATTTCCAACCTAATATTTAATTACAGCTTTTAGACTTTTACAAGTTTTGAAGAGACATAATCCCATACTCTTCAGCTACATTCGTATATTAAAGGATGTGCCTTGTTTCCAATCTGAGAACATCCATTTTCAAATTCCAATCACTGAATATTGCTTTACTCCTGTCTGCTAATGATCTGCTTTCTTCTCCTTGCATGACTAGTTATAATCTTATACAAGCACCTCTTGAGACTTCCTGATAAGCAGCTGTGGTGGATTAACTCTGGCTGGCTGCCAAGTGCTCCAGTTTGGGTCCCCCATGGGATCACAAGTCCTGCCA